TGACCATTATTTTGTAAAAAGGGTTTGCCATCTTTGCCATTATTTTCTGAATCACACAATTCATAGAACAAAACTTCAAGAAACTTATGGTGAATTAAATCATATTATTAGTCAAAATAATATATACTGAGTTTTTTTTTAAGAATCTCATTAGGGGTTCTACCATTGAAGCATGCAAAATCAAAATTTCTTAAGAGGGATTCTCAACTTTAAATTTATAATAAAATATTTATTAAAAACCCCATTAGAGTATCTACCATTGAACATGCTCTAACAAGATAAAGTACTTCTTGTAAATCGTAATAGAATGCGTTGCCTTTCTCATTGATATTGACGAGTATATATAGTTACAGACGAGACTTGATACGCAAGGTAGAGAATATACAAGGAGAATATACGATATAATATTTGGAATATATCATATTCTGTAACACTCCCTCTCAAGATGGAGCGTGTAAGTTAAGAACGCCCAGCTTGGACCGTAAGTTCTGAAACTGGTCACGACCTAAAGCTTTAGTGAATATGTCTGCTGGTTGTTGGTGAGTAGAAATGTGAGACGTAGCAATAACACCAGCAGTAATCTCATCACGAATGAAATGACAGTCGCTCTCGATATGTTTTGTACGTTCGTGAAAGACGGAGTTCGCTGCTATTTGAAGCGCAGATTCATTGTCACAGAAAAGGTTCATCGGCTGAGAGTGAGAAACACCAAGAAACGTAAGAACCTCCTTAAGCCAAAGTAATTCCTTGCAGTCATGGCCATAGCTCGATATTCTGCTTCGGTAGAAGAAAGAGAAACCCGTTCCTGTTTTTTGGTCTTCCAGTTCAGAGGAGAATCTCCAAGCATAACCATATAGCCAGTCAATGATCTTCGTGTATTTGGGCAGAAATTGTAGTCAGAGTCACAGTAAGCATTAACCTGGATTGGAGACTTCGAAGATAGAACAATGCCTTGACCAGGTGCAGTTTTCAGATAGCGCACTAGCCGGAGAGCCGCATTCCAATGATCAAGAAGCGGAGTTTGCATGAATTGAGCTAGTATATTGACCGCATAACTAAGCTCTGGGCGAGTGTGAGTCAGATAAACTAGTCGACCAACAAGGCGTCGATATTGCTCCGGAGCTGAATAAGGTGGACTTGTAGACGAAAGAAGCTTGTGTTGTTGTTCAAGCGGAGTGTCAACAGGTCGAGCACCAGTAAGACCACACTCCTCAATAATGTCGAGACAGTATTTCCGTTGAGAGAGAAATATACCATCTGGTCCGCGGGCCACCTCAATGCCGAGAAAATACTTCAATTTACCCAAATCCTTCATCTTGAAACATCGACTCAGATAAGCTTTGAACGAAGTGATGACAGCGGAATCATTGCCACTAATAATCAAATCATCTACATAGACGAGAACATGAAGAACAACAGATCCACGAGTATATGCGAATAGAGAGTTGTCTTTGTGTGATCGAACAAACCCATAATCGAGAAGAGCAGTAGACAGCTTAGAGAACCAGCATCGAGGAGCTTGACGAAGGCCGTAAATAGACTTCCATAATTTGCACACAAGCGACGGATCAGCAGGCAGAAAACCAGGTGGTGGTTTCATGTAGATGTCCTCATCTAGATCACCATATAAAAACGCATTATGAACGTCCATATGGTGGAGTTCCCAGTTTTTGATTGCAGCAACACTGAGAAGAACACGAACCGTTTGCATCTTGGCGACAGGTGCAAAGGTATCAGAAAGATTGATACCTTCTTGCTGATGATTTCCAAGTGCAACAAGACGTGCTTTATATCGTTCCAAAGTTCCATCAGATTTGAATTTGAGGCGATATACCCATTTGGAACCAAGAGCTTTTACACCAGGTGGCAACCGTTCCAAAGTCCATGTTTCGTTGAGTTCCAAAGCGTCAATCTCTTTGCGCATAGCTCCACGCCATTCAAGAATAGCGACAGCTTTTTTGTAAGTGACCGGTTCATCAACCATGGTCATTGCTGCAAGAAAACGCTGATGCGAGGAACCAAACTTGTCACACGAAATATAATGTGAAATAGGGTAAAAACAGGTACCTGAAGATGCTGATGAGGACTCAGGTTTGAGAGAGACGAGGGTTTTATCACAACGAGCCGAATACGTGTGGTATGGCTCAAGCAGAACTGAGCGCGTACGCTGGCAGTGACCACGACCAAGAGGTTCTATGCCAAGATCAAAAGAAACAGAGTCATCTGTCGGAGCTGCAACAGTGATCTCAGCGGGTGCAACAGTGATCTCAGCGGGTGCAGTAGAGGAAGAAGATACTGGCACTGGTTCCGGAGATATTGGATCCAAAGAGGAGCTCCCCCTGTTTTCTAACACAGGAGGTACAAGAACTTGAACAATCTCATCAACAGCAGGTAACACAGGCGGTGTAGCTCCATTAGAAGGAGGAGAATCCACATGTTTGTCGTCCGAGAATGGAAAAACAGTCTCTTGAAAAACAACATCGCGAGACACAAAGAAGTCTTGAGATTCGATATCAAAAACTCGCCAACCTTTCTGGTTATGAGGATATCCCATAAAAATGCATTTTCTTCCTTTTTCTTGGAACTTGTCTCGTTTAGCGGAAGCTCTTTTTGCAAAACACAAACACCCAAACACTCGCAAATGATCATACGTAGGAGGAACAGAATGAAGAATCTCATAAGGTGTCTTCCCTTCTAACAAAGGCGTAGGTATTTGATTTATCAGATACGCAGCGGTAAGGATGCTCTCTCCCAAAAATCGCGTGGGTAAACAAGACTGAAATAGAAGCGAGCGTGCCATATTGAGGATGTGACGATGCTTGTGTTCAATACGACCATTTTGCTGAGGTGTGTAGACACAAGACGTTTGATGCTGAATGCCGTGATCCTTGAAGAACGATCGCAAACCCAAAAATTCACTGCCATTGTCACTTCGGACAGTCCTAACTGTTTTATCGAACTGTTGTTTAGCCATTGCGATGAATTGTTTAAGATGAGTAGCTACTTCGCTTTTAGCAAGAAGAAGATAGGTCCATACAGCACGAGAATGGTCATCGACTATGGTGAGGAAATAGTGAGCTCCGCAAGAAAATGCAAGTGTATAAGGTCCCCAAATATCACAGTGAATCAAAGAAAAACATGCATCTGCTTTATTAGTACTATCAGAAAAATTAGATCTGGTTTGTTTTGCTTGAATACAGACTTCGCAGAAATCACTATTCTCACTACCAGAATGATCAAAATCCGACAAAGTAGATAAAAAACTAGATAAAATCTTCGTAGATGGATGACCCAAACGCTCATACCACAGTGTTTTGCTGGATTTCCGAACATGATTCGCTTGAGCCGAAACTGCACCACGAAAGTGATAAACCCCCTCTCTCTCTTCACCTGCTCCAATCAGCATCTTCGAAGTGCGGTCCTGTATAACACAAAACTTGTCAGTAAACATAGCAAAGCAGGACATCTCGCGAAGTAAATGTGCCAAAGAGATCAGAGTGCAGGAGAGATCAGGAACATAGAGAACACGATTCAGGCGAACATGATCGCCAAGAAGCATTGTGCCTTCTTCAATAGCATATGTGTGCTTGCCATTAGGAAGAACGACGATACTACGAGGTATTTCGTGTACGTCGACAAGCATATCGTCATCTCCTGTCATATGGTGGCTTGCTCCAGAGTCTAGCAAAAAATCAGCACAAGGTTTCTTACCGGAAAGCTTGTCGTTGCTGTGTGAGGTATCAGATTTCAGAAGATGTAGAATTTGGGACCATGTCTCCTTGCTTACGCCTGGAAGTTCAGGAGACACGTCATCGGTAGCAACTTGAGCATTATTAGCTCGCGGAGCTGATCGACCGCGTCCTCGTCCGCACTGAGAGCCCCTGCCTCGACCCCTTGATGCATCAGATCGAGTAGAACCACGAGAATCACCATTCTTTTCAATCCACCACTCGGGAAGCCCATGGAGTTGAAAGCAAGTATCCACGGAATGATTAGACCTTCCACAATGAGTGCATGGTCCTTGAGTAGAGCGAGTAGCAGTTGTGATAGCGTTGACTCCAGCTTTTACTGCAAAACCTACGGCTTCAATCCTTTCCTCCTTGCTTCGAGCAACTGTTAGATGTCGCTCTTCAGCAATAACTTCAGAATAGATCTGATCCAGACTCATGTGACGACTAAGAATATTAGTACGCGTCGTTCCAAACCGAGAGGCGTCGAGACCCATAAGGAACTGATGTATCCTTTCGAGATCACGTCGCTGTGTCTGCTTCACTCGCTGAGGACAGGTACCATTGCTGCAGCAGCATTCAATAGGCGGCTCAAAGTCATCAAGATCGTCCCACATGATTTTGAGCTTGCCGAAATAGTCCGCAACATCTTGTCCGTCTTGAGTGCAACCGACGATAGAAGCTTTAATTTGATGAACGCGAGAGGCGTTACCAATAGAGTATCGAACTCTTAGATTATCCCACAAAGCTTTAGCGTTGTCGACAAAGGAGATTGCCTTCTGAACTTTGGGATCGAGACTCGCATAGAGCCATCCGACGAGCATAGAGTTGGTTTGTATCCATCTGGAGAGTCGTTCTAAGGTTTTGGTAAAGATCCATCGACAAAACCAAGTTTGTGTTTGGCGATGAGGTTACTGCGAGCTATTTTTGCCCACTTCTCACAGTTTTCACCAGTTAGAAGAATAGGAGTCAGAACATGATGCAGATGATCTGACGAAGAAAGATAATAAGGAGATGACGAGATCGTCTCCGTAGTAACGATGGTGTTTTTTGGATCAACCATCGAAGAACAAGTTTAGATTTTAGTGTAGAAGAGAAAAAAAAAACTTCGATTTAGGAAGAGAGCTTTAGGGTTTTAGAGTTTTCCCTGCTCTGATACCATGTAAATCGTAATAGAATGCGTTGCCTTTCTCATTGATATTGACGAGTATATATAGTTACAGACGAGACTTGATACGCAAGGTAGAGAATATACAAGGAGAATATACGATATAATATTTGGAATATATCCTATTCTGTAACACTTCTATACAGTGAAATGTCTCATTGAAATATACTACAAAAGTATTGGGCATATCAATGTTTGCCAATGCAGTACAGCACAATACAAATTCCATCCACATTTCTTATACCAGTAACAATGACTATTCAGCCATTGCAATGGCTCTCTAAACCAATTACAGCCACTTAACACAGTCTAGGGAACATGCTATTGATCCCAAACAATGGAAATATACTTTTTCTTGACAACGCTTTTTACAAACCACACAAATTGGTCGAGACATGTTATTGTTGCGTAGAACATCTAACTTTCTACCCAAGTATATCAACGATGAACCCGGCTTCATGTAAAACTCCACCCCTAATAGACATTCAATATGTAGGGTAGCACAACAGTACTCATCACACATATAAAACCGCTCCTTTGGATTTAATTTTCTCTCGCATACGTCACACCAACATGCCATGGTACTTGTCTCCTTCCCATAAGAAAGAGTGAGCATATGTTTATCATGCTTATACCTCACCTTTTGTGGTAAAGTAGCACATTTAAAGCACAAAGAAAAGTCACACTCAATGCAATTGAGTGTTTCCGTGTAAGCATTTCTTGAAACTTTACAAATCGAACATCTTCTTCGCTCTCCTGGTTTAGATGTTAGAAATAAAGGATGCATATGACTTTCATGAAGTAATGGCTCAGAAATTGAGGCGCATTGCACATGTAGCTTAAAATGACATCCTTTCTTACTGCACCGATAGAAGAAACCAGTGCACAACCAAGGACAAGCTGAACATGTAATCCTAGTATCGACTACATAGCTATCGTCTGTCACTAGAGTGAGTGGATGTGCATGTACTGGATGATATATTTTGCAGGAAAGATTCGCACATATTTCGTGGAGAATAAAACCACATTGCATACATGAGTAGAATTTACCGTAATAGATTGGCATGATGCATGCTTGACACTCTTTGTTGTCGTCATAATCTCTTCTGGTGTTCTCAACAAGTCTCAGATGATGATGTTTATGACTGAAATGTTGAATGATTCCATCGCTTATCCTCACAAACGGTTCAACTTCTTCCTCTTCAACGTCTTCTGGCTCTCTGTCAAGTTCTCTACCATCCCATACATTGCTCTGTGTGGCACATCTTGAATGAGCCGCATATGAACAACCATGCTTGATGCAAGAATAACCCCCGTAATCATTGTCCATTTCTTTGCGACAAATACTACAAGACCGATCTCCTTGGTCGAAAATGGGGGTAAAAGAGATACGATGGAGATGGCGAGATATCTTGATTACACGTGGTAAGCTGATACATCTTTGATGGACCACAAATTCACATGGGGGACATATATAGAAAGGACAGCTCGAATGGGTCAAGGCACATAAGTTGCAAGTTAACGAAGCCTGTCTTGGAAACAGATAGAGTTGATGATCATGCCACTTCGGATGGTCTATAGTTGAGGGTCGTTTCTTCTCCAAACAAGCTATATTCATAGCATAATCGCAAGCAGAGCAATAATAAAATACCTCTAAGAGATATTCCTCACAGCAATAGCATTTCCTGGCTATTACTCCGCTCAACAAGACAAGAGTAAGAGAATGTTTGGGATGAAGATAGTGTTTGACCTCAAGTGGAGCCTTGGCATATTCTTCATGGTCCTCCCCATTGCAGGTTGGGCATCGAAAATGAGCAGTTTTTTCTCCTGTTGTTATCCTGTAGAAGTCCATGTTTCTACGGTAACATTCCCTTTTTTTATCGCTCCTCTGCTGCACTTCACCATTCATACGAAATTTTCCTTCTTCAAGTTTTACTTCTACTTGAGGGCACAAGGAAACAAACTGCTTCGCCTCTAGATTCATAGAGATGACGAGAGAGAATATTTGATTAAGGAGTGATACAAGCTCCGGCTTTGTCTCGAGAGTGAGTAGTTTCTCAATGAGTGATATGAGCTCCGACTCCGACTCTGGGTCTGAGTCTATAGAGCTGACGAGAAATATTTGTTGAGTAGTGAGTATTATGAGCTCGGACTCCGGTTCCAAATCGGTTATAGAACCCAAGACAAAGACTCCTTGCTTGATGAGTGAAATGAGCTCGGAGTCCGGCTTTGGCAGCGAATCCAAATCCATAGAGCTAAGGAGATGGTATATTTGAGTAATCAGTGATGCGAGTTCCGACACCCGCGAAGGCTCTTGCTGCTCTTGCTCCTGCTCTGACTCTGAGAAGATAGAGAATATTTGAGTAATGAGTGGTATGAGCTTCCACTCCAAACTCAAATTTATAGAGCTGACGAGAAACTTTAGTTCATAAATGAGTGTAATGATCTCCGGCTCTGGCTTGAGAGAAAATATTTGATTAACCAGAAATATAAGCTTCTCATCCCGCCTTGGCTCCCAATCCGAATCCGAATCTTTCGAGCTGCCCAGAGAAATGATTTGAGTAACGAGTGATACTAGCTCCGATTCCGGTTCTGAAGCGGATATAGAGCTAAAGAGAGAGATTATTTGCTTCATGAGTGATATGATGTGTGATTCCGGCTTGGGCAGCGAGCCCAAATCCATGGACCTGACGAGAGGGATTATTTGAGTGATGAGTGATGCGAGCTCCGACATCCGCACCGAATACGACTCCGTAGCAGACCTGCCAAGATAACTTATTTGAGATATGAGCGATAAGAGCTCCGACTCTGAATCATAATCCATTGTGTTGGGGAGAGAGATTATTTGAATTGGTTTAAGAGATTTTGAGTGATGAGGATAATTAGCTTCGTGCTCTCTATTTTGGTATGTTTCTCACGGGTTCTCTATAGCTTGCCGATCTTGCCTTAATACACACAATTACTGTCTATACTAACCAAAATAATTAGAAACAGATAATCACGACAAAACAGGTTGTACGAACACAAAGTCAACCATCATGTGTACAATAGTAATTTTTTCTTAAAAAGTTATTTTGAAATATATTAAAAAAAGGAGAATTTCAGATTTAACTCATTTTTTAAAGTTAAACACCAAACTGACCTCTTTTTTTCTCTCTCCGATTTTTGCCATTTTCTTATAATTTTATCCTTCCCACTTAAACTATTAACGAAAATGCCATTATACATCTATTATTTCGATTTTCTTTAATTCGGCTAAAGTCTCATTGGACCTTCTAAAAACCTTTTTATTACGAGAATACCATCTTATTCAATTTCTTTAACCACCATGAATAACCATGAAAATGGAATAAATGCTTCTTAACCAATTTTAAAGCTGTAATAAGTAAAGATTTGAGCTCATTCACTCATAACCTTCCTCATTCTTTCATAATTTCTTCTCCAAAACATCTAGGCTAAGTTACAATGCCAAAAGTCATGCATTTTTGGTGATTTCTGGTTACTTAACATCTGGGTTGCTTATTTTGGTGAAATCCTGAGTTCTGGATGCTTAAAAGAACTGTAGCTGAGCTCAATTTTGTTAAAGGTAATCGTCGCACTTCAATTTTCTCCATATTTCAGTTTTCATATCGCGAAAGTAGACTTCTCGTGAAGTATACTGAAGTCTACTAGTCAACATAAGGTTATTTTTGCAATTGACTTTTAAAAGTAGACTTCATTAAACCTCACGAGAAGTCTACTCGATATCCTTTAAAAACAAAAAAAAAGCATAGTAGACTTCATTTGAAGGCTTAAGAAGTCTACGAAAGAAAAGAGGTTATTTTTGTAGTTGACCGTATTTTGACTTTTTAATGTAGACTTCTTTCTAAAGTTTATTGTTTACGTCTGCACAAGAAGTCTACTTTCGAGTTACTTTTGTAGTTTAACCAAAAACGTATAGGTCATTTTAGTGTTTGACCAAAGTTTTTTAAAAATTAAAAAAATCATAAACCTCCGGAAAGCTGCAGTAGACTTCAGAAAGAAGTCTAAAAACTGTAGACTTCTTTGGAAAGTCTACTTATATTTTTCGGTCAAACTTAGAAGGAATCTTTTTTTAAGTAGACTTCACAGTGAAGTCTACTCAAAAAATTCAATTGCAAAAATAACCTATTTTTTCCGTAGACTTCTATTGAAAAAGTAGACTTCAAAAGTAGACTGTCAGAGAAGTCTACTTGTACATGAAGTCTACAATAGAAGTCTACTTTGTTAGTCAATGCATCGGTCAAATGCTAAAGTAACCTTTTTGGTCGGAAGTCTACTTCTGAAGTCTACTGAAGGAAAAGTCAACGAAATGGTCAATTGCAAAAATAACCTATTTTTTAGTAGACTTCTTTAGTAGACTTCACTATGAAAAAGTAGACTTCTTCGCTAGTCTACGTTTGAAGTCTGCTTTAGAAGTCTACTTATTGTAGTTTTTTTAAAAACGCGTTTTAGGCAAATTTATAAAGTATTTTTTTTATTTTTTGGATTAGAAATGGTTTTTATGAAGTGATTGAACTACCCAGTGAATTTCATTTCATTTCATTTGATATTTATTGTTGAATCAGAAGTTTTGATTTTTAAGCTAGTTAGCTTATTAAAGTAGACTTCTCCAGCAGTCTACGGATGAAGTCTGCACACAAAGTCTGCTCGGTATCATTATTTTAAAAACAAAATTACAGAATATATATAAATTATTTTTTGTATTTTTAGGTTTTAGAATGTGTGTTACCAACTGGTCTACTTACTCAATGAGTTCCATTTGTTTTAAGTCGATATTTATTATAGAATCGAATTTGTTGATTTAATAGCTAGTTAGCTTGGAAGAATAGACTTCATCTCCAGTCTACAGATGAAGTCGAAGTCTCCTATATAGAAAATTTGTTACTTACATTTTTGCAATAATGTAGTTTGTAATTTCGTTTGCTAATATGGTTTTTTGTGTTTTATTACAGAAAATGATCAACTCCATAAAAATAAATCTTCAAAAATTCTAAAAGATTGTAGAGTCATTTTTAAGTTCTCTTGTTAATAACACTAACCTCATTCTTCTGTTTTTTTTTCTTTTTTTTTGGATTTGACATACTTTGTGATTTTAATACTGATGCAACATTCAGTTACTTCAAAAAATTTGTGACATTGAATAAACATGTAACACCAATCCATTCTTCTTCTATTTTGTGGTTTTAAAACTGGTGCAAAATCAGTCACTTAAAATTTTTATTTAGAATTAGTTTATGGAACTTTTCTTTGCACCATACTCTGAACCATTATATTTTGTCCATATAGAATAATTTGATTATGTTACATATTTGATAAAGATACATAAAAATAACGGTTGATGACCATTAAAAGACTACTACAGTTGATGATTATTACAATTAATGACCATTACAGACAAAATTGATAATCATTACACAAAAAGAGATCATGAGCAAATAGAAGATCAATTATTTACTTATTGGGTTCTGTTTTGTAAATGAGCTTAATTGTTGTGTTGGGCACTTGGGCCTGTTAGGACAAAACTCCCTACACGTCTCGATGTCGATGGTGGAGAAAATGGAGATGACGGTGACGAATTTTTGAGATTTGTGAGATACTGCAAATGAAAGAAGTCAACTTAAGAAGTCTGCTTTCGGAGATGACAGTCATGAATTGTTGAGATTTGTGAGATACTGCAAATGAAAGGAGTAAAAATTAAACATCAACCCAAGTAACAAATCTAATAAAGAAGAGGAAGAGGAGGTTTCCGAGAAACACAATCACAGATCTGATTACTAAACTAAATCAAATTAGTTCTGATCTTAGTACATTATGAATAAAAAAAAAATTCAAAGTGGATCTCAATTAAATAAAACCAAAATTTCTGGACAAAACATCAGCTAATAAGTAAAAAGAAGAAACTTGAAAAAGCTTACAATTTGAACCAGACATCAAAGCTATACCCAGACAAAGCTGCACGGCGGTGAGGAAGTCGACGGTAGACCTCTTTTGTTGCTCACTATGTTGAGGTCACCTACAGTGAAGATCAAACAAACGTTTTCCTAAAAACAAAAAGCAGAGTATAATCTAAAGAGAGATTTCTAACCTGAAACAGCATAGAAAAAGACCTCGTGTACAGCTCGTTCGCAAGCAGATCTAAAAAAATCGATGTTCTCGTTGAATCTGAACCCACAGAAGCTGCTTGATTCTCCGTTGTTGAGTTGTTGAGACCGGATTGAAAGCGCTAAGTTACTCTCTGGTTACAAGGGAGGACACCAGATCTCTGAGCTTCGAAAAAAATCGTGAGAGAGGCGATGGAGGCCAGAGGAAAGCGCCGAATTAGAGAGTCTCTTTGAAAAAATTAGGGTTTTACGAGGATTCGTTGGTTTATATAGTAGGATAAAATTTCCGGTTAAAATAGATATTTTTGGTTTAATATGTGTTTAATTTCGGTTTAAATTTGGGTTAAGTTATTTTATTCGGTTTAGCAGACTTCAATATAGAAGTCTACAACTTTTAAACCTAAATAATAAATTTACTTCTACTTAATTTAAAAACATACATTTCCATTTAATAATTTATGTACATTTGAGTTACGATTACGGAATTTATGAATGTAAATTTGATACCAAAACAATTTTTAAAAAATTTTAAAATTAAATTTATAGATTTAATTATGTAGTAGACTTCATTTCGATAAAATGAAGTCTACTATTAGACTTCTTTTTCACTTTAGTAGACTTCGTCAGAGTGTAAACGGTAATTAGGACATCCGTTTTTTGTTTACTCATACAGGTTTAAATGGTCTTTTCACTACCTTTTTAGGTTATTTCTGCTAAATATTTTTTCAGGGGTCTACTTTTGTATTCAAAGTCAAGTTTTGGGTTATTTTTAGCAAAAACCCCTAAAAACAAATTTGTTTTTTCTAGCAATTTTATATTCTGTCTAACTAATGATTTTAGATAGATAAAGATGTCATACTGGATTAACGTGTTCACTTAACCCAGTGAAGTAAAATATTATTTTGGCTAACCAGCAAAAACCTGTAATTTAGAAAACTTAACTCTACTAGATAAATACCCGCACGTTACGTGTGGGTTTTTCTTTTCAATTATTTGAAACTTTTTTTATATATATTTATAAAAATTAATATAATCATCATTTGTTACTTACTTACTTGTTAATATTATATTCTTAAAATATTAAAATATTAATTTAAAATATACATTAAATATTATTTAATAATTTATAATTATATTAAAATTAATAAATATTCTTCAATATTTTTAATTATTTATAAAATAAATTTTTTTTTAACATTTATACAAATATTAATTAATACTTAATTAATAAGAAAACTAGAATTTTTAAATCATCATTTCATTTGTTACTTAATAGTATTTTATTATAAATAATCTTAAATTTTAATTTAAAATACATATTAAATTTTATTAAGTAATCTACTGTTATATAAAAATTAAATACATATCTATTAATATTTTTAATTAGCTATAACATAGATTTTTGTTTAACATTAATATAAATGTTAGTTAAAAATCAATTAATAAAATGAACTTTTCATTTTTTTTAATGTTTTAAAATTTAATATTAAAATTTATTAATTAAGATTTAAGTGACATGTGTCAACCTCTCCAATGTTGATGTGTCAAGCATATGGAGAAAGTTGAGCAACTTTTATATATAAGATTATGCACTGTTTATTGATTTTGGTCTATATGGTCAGTTCACAAACTCTTACAAAATTATTTTTTTCATGTCTAATTTTTTTTGTTAAATTAGTAGTATATTTTGCAGTTTATTGTTTTAATATATATTTCAATAAAATCTTATAAGATCTCGAATTAAGATTTAGAATTATTTTTTTTCTTTTAATGTATATGAATTAATTATTATTAAAAATATTTAATTTTCAAAATAATAATAAAAATAATAAATAAACTCTTTAATACTTTCCAAATTCTCTTCCATGATTTTTAAAGACTATTATATCATTTCATATTTCAACTATCTTTTGATATTTGTAATGGCATCTATATACTTATTTGTATAATGATTTGCTGATGTGTCGCACTCACAACGAGTTTCACAGAATGAGTTTCGCTGCAAAAAGAACGTTTGCCCCTATTTTGCAATTATGTGTTATTTTTTATTGATTTTTATGTGATAGTGTACTAAAAATAACTTAAAACAAACCGTTCTAAATTATTATGATTTAATGCTTATTTTGCTGTCAAATCAAACCGTTTCTAAAATTAAAAAAAAAACCAAAATTAAAAAGAAAAATCTAACAAAAAAGTAAAAAAAAAAAAGAAATCCATATCTCTAACTAATGGAATATCACTTATTAAAAAAAAGTCATCTCTAACTAATGGAATATCGCTTATTATGATATATAAGTTAGTTTACGATTTTTTATGTTTATAGAATTTTCACCTTTTTATGATTTAGTATAAATATCAACCATTTTTTTCTAATAAAACCGATATTTAGCCAAATCTAACGAAAATGCAAAAAACAATAAATGATATGTCTAACAGAATGATAGTATTTGTGATGTCTAGATTAGGGTTTTTGATTTTAAATATTTTAGTATAAATATGTATGACTTCTCTTTAATTCTCTCACACCCTTCAAAATTGTTTAATTCTTTCTTCTTCGAATAAGTTTGTACGATACTTCAAAAAACTACGTCTAAAATACATAGAACAGTGATCAAAAGATCTCAAAACTATTTAAAATAAACTATTTAAATATTAATATGTTTTTATCTATTCTCTTTTACACTGTTTTTACGGTCATGTTTTCAAACATTAAAATGTAAAGAAATCTAACGAACAAATATACTCAACAATAGAGAAAAAAAAAACAAATAAATCTAAACTACTATTAAATTTTTAAATAACCAAATAAAAAAAATTATATTAGCCAACGCAAAGAGTGGGCAATTCACTAGTAATATATAATAATTTACAAAATAAATTTCATTTTTGAAATAACTCCTTAAATAATAATATAGAAATATCACTCATTGTCCAACGCCAAACAGATAATACAAACAATACAGGTTGTCCGGATCCAAATACAAAGTCAACAAAAATAGAGGTTGTGGTTATGTGAACACAAGGTCTTAACCTTAACAAAACCAAATGGTAGAGGGTTAGTGGTTTTCACTTTTTGAGAAGTCATGTAGTTTAGGCCATATATCGATTCTCTGCAAGAGTAGAATTATCTAACCACTCCCATTGCAGAACCGGCTCTGACCTAAAGTGCATATAGCCCTAGCTTTAGGCGCCAAATTTAGTATAAATATATGGAGGGCAAATTTTACGTAAGTTACTTATGATCTATTGGTTAGCTCTTCCCTTTTGTTTCAAATAACCCAGTTTCAAACTCTCACATGTATTGTTTTTATATATAATTATGTTCTCACATTTTGCATTAGGTATCAAATATATTAGGGTTGGTCCTGCCTATTAGCCGGTCGAAATCATGTTATACTTTAGATCTACTAGAAAATCTTGTGAGTGAGCTACTTGACGGTTGCACTTATCCTAGGGGGTTAGTGGAGTGGTAAAAGTTCTGATAACACTCTTGTTATAAAAAAAAATATAATAATAATAAAATAAAATAAAAACTTAAGAAGACATATATAATCTTAATTAATCTTTAATTAATAATATAATCATACCCAGTGGTGGAGCTAGTGAAGGATGAGGGGGGTCAACTGACCCCTGTGAATTTGATAAAATTTTGTTTGTAGCTGCATATAATTAGTTGTCTGTAGATCATTTGGTTAGATGTATATAACACTGACCCCCTAGCTCAGGTTCAATCCTTGGTGGTTGCACCTTTTTATTTTTTTCATCATTAATCATTTGTTTTATTTGGTTTGACATGGTTTGCATATTTTTAAATGAAACTTCCTTATTCATTTCTCTCCCATTTACATTAAATCTTTCGTGTATTAGAATAGCTTCTGCAATTTTACTGGTTAAACCCCTTTAATTAATGTAGACAATAAACTATGTATGTATTTGAGATAAGTAAATATTCTAAAAAAAAATCTTCTATCATACCATTTTCTCTAATCAGTATTTCAGAAAAATAAAAATAATAATATAGGATTATTAGTATTGTTTACATAAAATTAAATATTTCTATCACTACATATATGTATTTTTATTTAACAAACTTACAATTTATAAAATTTATAACAATAATACATTATTTTAGTTCTGTTTTATAATCCAAAACTAATAAATAAATTATTTTAAACATTCAGTTTCAAAAGTAATATTTTAATTTATTTAAATTTTATATATAATATATTAATATTGACCCTGGTAAAAATATTTCTGGCTCCGCCACTGATCATACCTCTTTGATCATTTTGTTCTAGATTGTTGTTTACAATATGATTTTACTAATCGTGGTAACTTGAATAAACTGCTAGGCTATCAAGAGACGCAATTTGTACAATGAGAGTGGTATGAGAGATTTTGAATGTGACAACTATACGAATATAATCTAGAACTTAGTGCCCTCCCATAATTTGAGGATCTTGCCTTATTAATTTTATGTATATTTGAAAATCATTAAAAACGGAAAAGGATATCTCAACTCTCAAGTCTAAAGGTGGAATTCGAGTGCAAAGTCAACGATCCAACTACTCCTTTCCATAACAATAAGTTTTTAAGTTAATCTAATAAAGCAAATCAAAACCACTTCAAGAACCAGAATGTGTACGATTATAGGTGAGAAAATCGTGACACAAAATGAACAATCTTGAATGACCTTTCTTTCAGGGTGTCTAAGAATCAGGATAATTTAGGTATGAAGTTTATACAAATATGAGGCTGCCTCTTAAAGAGTAATGGAGATTTGTGAGTTGTGACAATAGGTTCAAGCTAAGAAGCTTCTCTTGGGCGTAACTGTACCCGCGCCGACTATGAAACCATTTTGTCGAATGAGGAGGTAGCCCCTAACAGTAACTTGAGCAAATATCAACAAGAAGATGTCTCCATAAAACCACCCTTTTACTAGAATATCAATGCTAGACTGCTGAACATCTCTAAAACATAAACTGATGAGAGTTTTGGAATGGTATAATTTACTCATTAA